AAAAGCTGAATATAAAAAGGAGGCCCAATATGTTCACACTTGAAAGGCTTGTTAAGGGATGTAGATGACATTAATTCTGCCCTGCAGCAATGCTACAGACTAGCTGTACATTAGCTAGTAATGAATGTTTGCTAGACAGACTAAATTAAACTGGTCTTTCAAGGAAGAGTCTCTATGTTATTTTCTTCTGCTGCCACTGCCTGGTGTATAATTCCGATTACCAAGTATTTTATACAACCAGCTAACCATTCCCAAAGAACAGTAAGTGGTAGGGACAGAAATTGGGGAATGGGAAGAAAATGTGCTGTTGTAAATTACTACTGCTGAAACGAAACAGCAGTGAAATCATACGGGGAGATATTGCTGGCAATTACCTCGTCAAGTATTTCAGGCGCGGGCAGTTCTGGTAATTGGGGTAAAGCATTTCAGAGCTTGCTTCATCAGTGACAATGACAACAGGTCCTGTGGAACAAGAAGGGAGTTTCTGTGATCAGTAGTGCATCTGTGTTTCTTTAGACTGCTTTATGTATGCTTTGTGCTCAAGTCCAGTGTTATCAACTAGCAATTTCCCCCGAGCTATCACCTGCAACACAAACCACTGTACTTGTTTCTGTGCAGTTATTTCCACAGGGATGCCTGCTGTGCACCTTGTAAAGCTTCCCACTTGTGTGTTCATTTTTCTTAGCGCCAAAAATTAGTCTCTGTGTCATGAAGTGTAAGGAGCTCTGGCAAGCCACTTCTACTTGTTCGTGGAACTCAATGTGGAAAGAGCAGATGTGAGATCTTTAAAATGCAGAGCATATTTTTAGAACAAGTAGTTACCAACTGCAGGATACAGGTGAAAGTTACTCCAGATACTGAACTTGTATCCAAGATACTTGGGTTTCCCTGAGAAACCTTTTTCTGATGTGTGAACTTTTTGCCTTCTTGATTTTGAAGAGGGTTAACACTAACCTTCTCAGCAGGTCTGAAAGAACAGCGGAAAGATACGCAAAGAGAGGGAACAAGTGACAAGCTGGTAAAGAATCTACAGGACAAGGAGAACTGGGGAAGGGAGCCAAGTGCAAAGAACTGAGGAAGAAGTAACAACTAGGAGCCAGAGAGAGTTAAGATGCAGAAGGTGTGTGCATCTAGGGAAGACTAAGCAAGGAAAGACAGTGTTCAGAAGTCTCCCCAACCTTCTTTCTGCTGTTGGTACAGCCCAGCTAGCACGCAGCGTGTGGACTCCAGATTCCGGAAAATATTAGTGGAACGGACGCTGAAAAAGAGAAAGCAGTTTGTGAGGCAGCACCTTCTCCTTCATGTTAACGTGGCTGCAGCTGGGGAGGTCTTGCTGGAAGTGAGGATTCCGCTTCCACCATGGCTTTGGAAATCTGTGGTGGGACTCATCTTTTGTCACTATAGATATCTTAGGTAGACACCTATAATCTGAACAGCCCTTTAACTGCATGTCAGAGATAGTGGAGATAACAAACTGGTGCTTCTCTGGTGTGATTTTTTAATCTCATCCTAAGCCAGATGCTCTCAGCATTACTGATGTGAGCAGCAGGGGTTGTTTCATCTCACTGAACTTCAGCTGTTTGCAGTGAGTTAAAGTGTGCTCCAGAAATGCCTGTTTCTCTTCACTCACCACGGAAGTGCAGAACAGCACTGCCAATGGCTCAGCCTAGGTGAGATGAATCTGTCCCTGGCATCACTCTCAGGACTTCTGGGCAATTGGATGCTTTGTGTCATGAGAGATTTCTGCTGCCAGGCTCTGCAGGCTGAGCAAAGATGAAGGCCCAGGGGGGCCAGACAGTTTGATGTGGGGTGGAGAAGGCTATGCTAGCCAGAGTTTTCCCTAGCACAAGGCGGGAAGAAAGGGAAGGTCCAGGAGGGAACTGACAGACTCACAAGACCTCAGCAGGCTTAAATGTTGGTGAAAGAAACTCGACTTCTTCCATGTAGTTTCTCCTCAGCCTCTCCCCCAGGGCAAATGTCTGCTGCATCCCCACTTTTGTCAGCTGTCCTGCGACTGCACCACCCTAAGAACAAAGAGAAGGAGAGGTCTCCAGTGGACCATGGGAATAAAAAAGTCTATGGAGCAAAGAGGAACCCACCAGCAAATACACCTCACCTTAAAAACAGTCTTATGGTATTCCTCATCCAAGGATGAGGGGGGTTGAGGTCCTCCATTTAGGTCTGTCACCACATAATCAAATTTAGTCTTAGCAGGTACATCTAAAAGAGTGGGATGCCATTCCATCTGTTTCAAAACAAACAAACAAAGTGCTTCAGTGGAAAACTTTCAAGGGCATTAAACCAAGGACTTTTAAGAGCATTAAACTAAAGTTGGAGTATTACAGTGTGCTGTCTTGCCAACAACACAATACAGAGACAAAGAGAAATGAGAGTAGTGCTGCTCTCTGGATTTGCAGATCTGATGTGCAGGAAATGCAGTACTAGCTTTCCTCCCCTTACAGGAGGAGAATCTGTAGGAAATCACAAGTGCTGCTCTTTGTTAGACATCAAAAAGCTGCTGTAGGAAACTACCTGAGCTAACTCCTGCTGGCTCCCCAGGCCAGCCTGGTGGAAGCTGGGGGCGCTGGATCCCTTGTGGTAACACTGAGGCAGGAGCCACACCTTTGCTGATCACCCACTGTGAGGTGCACAACTTGGCCTTGGAGTAAAGCCTCAGGATGCCCATCCCTGTATCCTGCCCCTGAGGGCTCCCTGTATTTGCAGCAGTTGTTCCCTCTGCTGTCATCTGTCCCACTAATGTACTACTGCTGTTCCACTTTAAAGAATTACAGAATTAATTAGGTTGGAAAAAACCTCTGAGATCATCAAGCCCAACCTGTGACTGAACACCACTGTGTCAACCAGACCACAGTGCCACGTTCAGTCTTTCCTTAAACACCTCCAGGGACGGGGATTCCAACACCTCCCTGAGAAGCCCATTCCAATATCTAATCCCCCTCTTTGTGAAGAAATTCCTCCTAATGTCCAACCTGAATCTCTGAGGCACATTAAAGACTGTCTCCTCTCATCCTGCTACTTAATCCCTAGGAGAAAAGCCTGACCCATAACTGGCTGCAACCTCTTTTCAAGAAGTTGTAGAGAGTGATAAGGGCACCCCTAAGCTTCCTCTTTTCTAGACCAAACACCCCCAGCTCTCTCGGTTTCTTCTCCTAACACTTGTGCTCCAGACCCTTCCACAGGTCCCTGGCCTTTCTCTGGCCTCACTCCAGCACCTCAATGTCCTCCCTGAATTGTGGCCAGGTCCATGGCCTTTCTCTGGATTCACTCCAGCACCTCAATGTCCTCCCTGAATTGTGGGACCAGAACTGGACGGGGACAATCCCTGCCCTGCTCCTGCTGCTCACTCCATGGCTGCTCCCGGCCAGGATGCCATTGGCCTCCTTGGACCCCCGGGCGCACCTGGCTCAGTTCAGTCGCTGCCAAACAGCACCCCAGGCCTTTTCCCACTGGGCTGCTCTCCAGCCACCCTAACCCAAGCCTGTAGCTCCCAAATCCCCATGCTTTCCCCTCGGAGATTACTCTCGGTATGGCCTCGGGAAGGGGAATAAACGCCAAACCACCAGGCTGCCGGGAGCAAGGCAGGAGCTCAGAGCGGGCACGCCGCCGGCTCGGCTCGGGGCACCTCCGCACCACCCTGCCCCGTCCCGTCCCGTCCCGAGCTCACCGGCTCTGCCCCCGGGATCGGCCGCAGCGGGGTGCGCGCCCCGTGCCGGAACACGACCTGCACCAGCCTCAGCTCCAGCTCCCGGCGCCGCCCGCCCTCGCCGCCGTCCCGCCCGGCCGCCGCCGCCGCCGCCCG